CACTTCAAGAGGGATGTGGACAACATGGAGAGGGTCCAGAGGAGGGCCGCTCGCATGATCAGGGGGCAGCAGGGCAGGCCCTATGAGGAGAGGCTATGGGACCTGAACCTGTTCAGCCTCCACAGGAGAAGGCTGAGAGGGGATCTGGTGGCCGTCTATAAACTGCCCAAGGGAGACCAGCAGGTAATGGGAAAGTCCCTGTTCCCCCGAGCACTACTAGGAGTAATATGGAATAACAGCCATAAGTTGACTGAGAGTAGATTCAGGCTAGATATCAGGAGGCGCTACTTCACGGTCAGGGCAGCTAGGATCTGGAACCAACTTCCAAGGGAAGTGGTGCTCGCTTCTACCCTGGGGATCTTCAAAAGGAGCCTAGATAGACACCTTGCTGGGGTCATTTGACCCCAGCATTCTTTCCTGCCCATGGCAGGGGTTGGACTTGATGATCTGCTCAGGTCCCTTCCGACCCTACCAACTATTAAACTATGCCCTTGCATATGAACAGAGACACAGGATCCAGACATGGCCCTGAAAGATGCTGTTATTTAAAACAAAAAATCCTGTCTCTTTGGTGTGAGATGCAAGTGCCCATAGACAGGGATCTACATTGACAAAAATGTCATGAACATCAAATTATATCATTTCTTTAAAAAGCAACAATTTTGCATTGCAAGTACAGGAAACAAAATTAAGTTGTTAAAAGTAATTGGTATGATGTAATACAGGGCTGTTCAGCTTCTGAGTAGCTGTGGGCCCCTTGCTACATTGTGCATAGGGTGCCCACCATGCAAGCACCCTTGGAGCCAGCTGGATCTGGCCTGCCAATTGATTTGATCCAGCCTGCGGGGATGTGCCTGCCAATGATTGGATCTGGTCCACTGCTGACCCTGTAGCACTCCACAAAGAGCCAAGCCCTGCCTGCTCCCATTTGAGATGGCCTGTGCTGCCCTCCTGCCAGCCCCAGCCAGTGCGCACAGCTTTCCAGTGAGGCTGCTTCTGGTGCAGCTGCAGCTGTCCAGGTGCTGCACAACTCCTCCCACCTCCAGCAGCTCTTCCTCCTCCTGCGCCTGCTGTGCTGCTCCAGGGGAATGGGGTGGGAAGGCTGCAGCCAGGTGGCTCTTGCCCCAGTGTGGGGCTTTAGCTCCCAGCCCCCTTCCGTCCACTCAGCAACCCCACAGGTGGCTGCTCATTACTCCAGCTGGGTGGGAGGTAGAGCCCTGCACACTGGGGCAGGAGCCACCCAGCTGCAACTTCCCTACCCACCCCTACCTAGAGCAGTGCAGCAGGTGTAGGAAGAAGCAGTAGCAATGTGTAGGGGGTGCATGTGCACCCCCTGAGAGCACTGGTGCACTCTGACGGGCAGGGGGGCAGGTGGCAGCGCTGGTGCCCCCTGTGCAAGTACTGGCCGGGGAGTGGGGGTGCCAGGAGAAGCGCCGTTGCACTACTCGCACTTGCAGGTTGGTGCAGTTGGCTGTGGGGGGGACCTTTCTTCCCCCTCCCCATTGGTGAGATGGTTCATGTGGAGATCCTGCCTCCCCTTCCCTTGGTCAGTGAGATTGGCCATGTCCCCCCTCCCCCCACTCCCAGTCACTGACTGGCTGCTGGGGGGGCATGAACCCCTCCTGACTCAAGAGGCACCAGTTGCCCATGAGAAGAGGAGGAGCTGAGCAGCAGCCAGGCAGCTGCAACCATACTGGGAGCAGCCCTGCCAGAAAATTGCGTGTGCTGGCTGAGTGTACATTGCAGGCTGCCCCAGGCGGGAGTAGGCTGGGCTTAGCCCATGCAAAGTGTTTTGAGGGCAGCTGCAGGCCAGATGGTGGGGGCAGGGTGGTGTAAATCGCACCTGCATGGTCCAGGTGAGCTCTGGTGCACACGCCCCCTGCCCCTTCCTCCCTTCACCCCCAGCTGGCTCCTGGGACTTAGCATGTAGGCAGCCCCCCCCCCATGCTCATAGCCCTCCCCCCAACAGACACCCAGATACATGCATACCCCCATGCACTCCCCCCCAGTATACAAGAGTGAGAGCATTTTGTACTATTATACAGTCACCTCTATATATGCTACTCAGAAAAACAAATAGGGACAAAAATATTTTTTGAAATAAAATGTTATAGTAGATGTTAGATTTTTAGTATACTATTTGATTTTTTTTTTAATCAATAATTTCTTTAAATGATATATTCTGAAAGATTATATGCATGTGGCCCTTGACAGCCCACCTAAACTTGTTAAGTAGCCCTTCAGCAAAATTAATTGCCTACCCCTGCACTACATGCAGCCCCAGAGCTGCCAGTTTTATAGTCCTGATGTAATAGAGATATTTCCAATTTGTTCTTTCTGTTTCAGGTTAAAAGCAGATTTTACATAGGTAAGTTAACATTGCTTCTTGTTTCTGTCTTTAAGTTAATTTTTAATTATTTTCTGTTAATTTATAACAATTTGAATACTGCAACATGGACCTGCTGTTCTTTTTAGGAAGGGAAAAACAGCTTGCCAGTGAAGTTGCTGAATTAGTTGAAGAAAAGTGCAAAGTGCTTGAAAAACTTAGCCTCCACAAGAAAGAGGTAACTTTCTATATTATCATTCTCTATCTCCACATAATATTTTCACAGACCGAACCTTCTGGTGTTTTATTCAATTAAATTTTTGAAATCTCCTGTGTTTTTTCTCATATCATTCTGTTTTTCTTAGTTCAGATTATTTGAAATGTGATGCAGTCGTTAATACATTCTGCTTTTAAATCCCAATGCAGTACTCTGCACTGGAAATCTGCTCCTGAATTACCTTTTTTTTTTATTGTTCTCTGTGGTAAGGAACCAGCTGTAGGAGATTCAGAAAATCCTACTTGTTGCCTACTTAAAAATTAGGCCCTTAGTGTTTTTCTGTATTACAATTTAGTTTTATTTGTTAATTTCTGATCTTGCGTAAATTCTGATGCAATTTATCTCTTTCAGTATGAAGACTTAGAATTATCTTTAAAAAATGCCAGCCTGAAAGAATCCACCGATACAACATGTACTGAGGTAAGAAGACGAAAGAAAATAATTGTCAGAGAGATAGCTTTAGGTGTTGAGAAAAGCATCCTTTTTTAAACGGCCTCTTTTACTTCAGGGTTTCCCAAAGCATCACTGAAGTGAGCAGGTTGGAGAAATAAAATATTTGGCGAATGAAGTAAGAGTTGCTCAGCTATGTAGAGATGCAAATTATGGAACAAGTTGGTCATGCATACGTTTAGTTTTGGAGCAAATAGTTATGAAAGCACACTACTTTCCATAGGTGATGCCCTGCAAAAAGAGGTGTTCTTGGAACATATGCAAAATCTATGATACTTTACAATAAGTATTGCATAAATAAAAAACAGCTAGTAGTTTTAAATTAAAAATGAACATTCATAGGCTTAAAGTACCAGCTACTTTTCACATTGCTGTAATCAACAAATTAATCGTTTTTTAGCTCTCCTAAATCAGGAATTTACTCACAGAAGGGCTTCTAAAGAAGTTAAAGTCTATAAACATTGCATGAGCTCTTTTAAATAAATTAACAATTTGATTTTGAATACTTGAAGTAAGTGGTCTCTGGTTGGACAAAAGTATGTTTTTTGAAATGGGAGGTTTACATTTTACTTGAAGTATAGTCTTGGTGCATCCTTAACTGTTGTTTTTTTCAGAAACAGGTTCTACTCATTGATATTTACTTAAGAGCCATACATGTTTTTTATGTTTTAACTATCAAAATGCTTTATCTTAGGAAACCTATGAAAAACTGAACAGGTCAAACTTGGCGCTCAAGCATGAAATAGAGAATTTAGAAAAAGAGCTAGAAAAAGAGAAATCTAAGCGATCAGAACAGGATGAAATGGTAAGGATACATTTTTATTTTTAAATCTTTCAAATTTCTGCTTTAAAAGTGTAACTATATATGGCTGGTATTTGTGCAAAATACTTTCTCTGGTGAAGAAGGCACCTTTTACTTAAAAATATACTAAGTGTGTGTCCTCACCTCCCTTTTTTAATGAAAAAGAATTAAATGGATAACACTAAGTAGTCAAGGCTCAGGAGTGAACTTGTGGGTATTTAGAAGTTAACAGTGGAACTCTATTGAATATTCCAATCAGTTAAGTTAAAGAGTTACTGTTAGGTCAGAAAGTAATTTAAGGAAAGAAAAAAAAAAAAAAAAAGCTTTCTTTTCTCCCTGCAATTTTTTTATTGCTTCCAATTATGTATAAATTCTAGAAATCATAAGACTTCCTCTGGTCATATTAGTTTTTTATTTCGAAAGCAAAACTGTCTCTTAGAAAAGGATTAATATTTTTGTAGGAATTAAACAGTAATGTATTTGGCTCATTGTCAAGAATTATCCTAATTTCCCCCTTATCCATGCTCTTTTCTACATTGTTGTGCTCTTTACCATTGATGACAATAAGCAACTTCCTTCTGTCCAGCATTTCAAAGTAGGGGAGCAGTCTTGTGTGACACTGTATAGATCAGTGGTTCTCAACCTTTTTTGGACTCAAGGCTCCCCCTCAATTCCAACCTGCACCCCCTCCCCTGCCCTGCTGTGCTCCTCACTCCTAACTGAGCCCTGTTGCCATGCTAGCGCCCCTCACTCCTGACTTGTAGCCCCCCCAACGGAGGATGGAACCAAGTTAAAATGGCACATAGTGACCAGTGGCGTCTCACAGGGCTCAGTACTCAGACCAGTACTCTTTAATATATTCATAAATGATCTAGATTTGGGTGTCAGAAGCAAACTGGCTAAGTTTGCAGACGACACCGAATTATGGGAAAGTACAGTCATGCTAGAGGATAGGCTGGCAATTCAGGCTGACCTGGACAGGCTCACAAGGTGGATGGATCAAAACCTGATGACATTCAACACAGAGAAATGCAAGGTGCTCCACCTCGGTAGCAAAAACCCACACCATATTTATAGGCTTGGCAGTGCTAGGCTCACTAGCACCATGACCATAAGAGACTTGGGGGTCATGATTGACCACACGATGAATATGAGTCACCAATGTGATGCCACAGCCAGCAAAGCAAATAAAACTCTGGCTTACATCTACTGATGCATCTCAAGCAAGAACCTCGAAATCATCCTCCTGCTTTGCTCAGCCTTGGTGAGGCCGCAGCTGGAACACTGCATCTGGTTCTGGGGTCCAGACTTTAGAAAAGACATGGAGAAGCTTGAGAGAGTCCAGAGGAGAGCCGTGCTCATGATTAGGGGTCAAGAGAACAGGCCTTATGAGGGGAGGCTGAGGGACATGGGACTTCTTCAGCCTGGAGAAGTGAAGGCTCAGGGGTGACTTGGTGGCAGCCTATAAGTATATAAGGGGTGTGCATCAGGAACTGGGAGAATGTCTGTTCACCAGGGCACCCCAAGGGAAGACAAGGTCTAACGGTCACAAACTGCTGGAAGACCATTTTAGATTGGACATAAGGAAAAACTTCTTTACCATCCAGGTCTCCAGAGTCTTGAATAGACTCCCCCTAGAAGTGGTGCAAGCACCTACTCAGGATACCTTTAATAAATGCTTGGATGCTTATCTTGTTAGGGTGATCTGATCCCACCTGACTTCCTTCTCCTTTGGCAGGGCACTGGACCTGATGATCTCCCAAGGTCCCTTCTTGCCCAAGTGTCTATGAAATCTAACCCTCCAACCCCCGCAGTGTGTATAGCAGGGGGTGGGTATGCATGTTGGTTCTAGCACATACTGTCCACTGCCCAACTTCCCATTCATGAATAAGATCCTGGAACTTAAAACAAACTGGTACCTAGCTATCGCTACTTGAAGGTGATTCAGGCTTGGTATATTCTGATTTTGTGATAGAGCTTATACTGAAACAGCTATGGTGGCACTGATGGATAATCTTTTCCTGTCACTAGGCAGACAGTGGGCATCCATTTGGACCTCATTAGTATTGGATCATGGCTTACTGCTATCTTGCCTTTTTTTTTTTTCTTTTTTAAAGATTGTTCCTCAAATGGAACCCAACAAGTAATAATCAGAAACTGAATTTTCATCTCCCAGGCCAGTCTTCTATCTTTTTTTTTTTTTCAAAATCTAAAGGCAGCCACTAGGCGAATAGGCCAGATGACTGCTAGTACCACTTTCATGTGTTATACAGATAAAACAGTTCTATATACTGTGTGCCACAACTACCACAATGAGTCTAATGTTTGGGAAAGACCATTTCGTAGGTGAAAGAATACTGAATGTGAGCAAGACAGAGATGATGTTGCAGGTCAGAAAAAAGTATTTTGAAGAGATTGCAGCTGAAGTACAGGTTTCCCTCTATTTATGTTGTGTGTGCATTCCCAGAGAACAGCGTGTAGATCAAACTTGCATAAAGCAAACCCACTTTACAATGTAACAAATAGGGATAGGTTCCCATGGCGGTGAGGGAGGGAGTAAGGCTGGGACTGGGGAAGGGGCAGCAGGAGGGGTGCTGCTCCCAGGTCTGTACAGGGCAGCAAAGCAGAGGAAACAGAGCGTTGCTCACCCCAGCCCTGGCTGCAGCGGCCCCAGGAGCAGCTGGTGCCAACTGCCTGCAGCTGCTTGGTTGCACGGTGCTCTGCCTGTCCCCACTCACCTCTGCTCCTGGGCTGCACCGTGCCCTGGTGCAGGCAGATGGTGTCTGCTGCTCCCAGAGCCTCAATTCCTGTAGGACTCAATTCCTGTAGAATTTCAAATAAATTTCATGCATGCTTGTCTGGATGTGCCCCATGTGTGGTATGCGGTGCTGCAGACCTGTCTCCAGCACTGCAAACCGCATGTACTGCACACGTAGGTGTTCACTGCTCTGCTAATTTGTAGTGCAGTGACGGGGTTGACAGTGGGAGATCCCAGTGAAACAGAAGAAAATGGAGTGGTGAATTCTGTGGATGCTTTCAGTCTTTAACTACTATAAAGGAATAGAATCAATGAGTTGGAAGGGACCTAGACAGATCATCTAATCCAACCCTCTGCCATGGTCAGGAAGGAACACGGGGGGTGGGAGGGGTCATAAGACCCCAGCCAGGTGCCTATCCAGTCTCCTCATGAAGATTTCCAGGGAAGGTGAGAGCACCACCTCTCTGGGAAGCCTATTCCAGGCTCTGGCCACCCTTGCAGTGAAGTAGTTCTTCCTAATATCTAACCTAAACCTATCCTTCCTCAGCTTGTGGCCATTGTTCCTGGTGACTCCAAGGGGGGCCCTGGTGAACAGACTTTCCCTGAGTCCCTGCTGCTGGCCCCTGATAAGGTTGTAGGCAGCCACAAGATCCCCCTTCAGTCTCCTCTTGTGGTGACTGAAGAGATTTAGGTCTCTCAGCCTTTTCTCATAGGGCTGGTCACAGAGGCCCCCAGTCATACAAGTGGCCCTCCTCTGGACCCTCTCCAGGTTCTCCACGCCCTTCTTGAAGTGCGGCACCCAGAACTGGACACAATACTCCAGCTGCAGCCTGACCAGTGCCACATAGACCTCTCTGGACCCGTTAGTGATACCCCTGTTGATACATGACGGGGTGTGGTTGGCTCTGCCTATTGCTTTGTCGCATTGGCGACTCCCATTCATCCTGGAGTCAGTCATGACTCTAAGATCCCTCTCTGCCTCTGTGCTGCCGAGAGGGGCAGCCCCTAACCTGTAACCATAATGCTGGTTCCCTCTCCCCAGGTGCAGCACCCTGCACTTGTCCTTGTTGAACTGAATAATAGAGGCCTCACTCGGTATGCCTTCTAAATGGCTTGCATGCAGAAAATCCTTTCTTGGAGCACTTTTAGGAAAGTGGATTTCTTATTTTAATTATCCTCTATTATTACAAAGACTTCCAATGGATCTGATGTATATATTGTAAACGTTGTAAATATAGAGTATATATTACAAGGCAAATAAGATATTAATTAGACTATCATCACAAGTCACTAAGGATATCATTATTGCTCAACCTGCAAAAACAATCCTCTTGATTTGAAAAGGAAATATTTCTGAGGCATATATTCTAGTCAAATTTTGCCTATAGAGTTAAGGTAACTTTGGCTAAAGAGTGGCAACTAATAAGACCTTTTATAAAAGCTATTATTATAACTTTGCAGATAACTGAAATAGAGAGAAGAATAGAGTCTTTAGAAAATGAAGCAAAATCTATCCAAACACAAGTGGCTGAAGTAAGTCCAATCTCAGTATTTCTCTGTTAACAATTATATACATTTATTAAGAAAACACTGAATTTAATGTTTTAAGTTGATATAACAACAGCTTTACATGTTACTTTGTTTGTGCAGCCCAG